TTAATACAGACTTACTAGTAATAACCTACTTTAGAGACTCAAATACAGACTACTACTAATCCTCCTATTATTAAGGAACATCTTTGCTAGTAAGATTATAAAGGGGCTAGACAATAATACTAAAGTCTTAAATAAAGTATTAGTAGTAGTTTACAAACCTAAAAAATACTTAGACCTGTTTCAGGTTTTAAGGTTGTAACTAGTTCTAAACTGTAGTTACCTTTGCTAGATCTATACAGACCTGTTCTCTACTAATTACAAAGCTCAGATAATTTACTGACTCCTGTACAAAAGAGTACTTTACTTCTTAGAGGAACAGTTTATTATTTTAGAACTGTTGTAAAACTGCTTAGATTAGTTAGTAATAATACTCAACTGTCTGAGTAAAGATTAGAATGTTATCTAGATACACACTAACATACTCTAAGTTAATCAGATCTGTAAGAATGTGATTCATAAATGACTAGAACATTGTAAGTAAGTTAGTTAGTCTAAAGAACATTATAGTTAGTTTGTACAATCTGTAATTAGTTTAAAACACAGTCTTCTACTCATCTCTGTCTTAGATCCAAATATTATTATATCCTTATCAAATGTCTAACTTAGTAAAAACCCTAAATGTATACATCTTATTAATGAGCTCCTAAATTAGAGGGAGTAGGTACTTGTTTTTAATAGTACTCTTATTAAGACAATAATAATCCTAGACTAAATAAAGCTTTCTATCTTTCTTTTTAACAAAGAAGAAAGAGGAGACTATAAAGGACTTTAAGGGTTGGATCTAACTATTCTAAAGATTTTCCTAAAGGAACTTGTTAAGCACCTCCTACTTGTCTCTGTTGAGTAGATAGACCTTACAATCCTTAGATTAAAAACTCTTAGTTAATTCAATTATATAGTCCTAGAGACAGTGTTTAAGAAGTTAGTCAAATTCCTCTTTACTAAAGACTTTAGAGAACTCTCAGACAAAATCTGACAGACTAAGTCTATATACATTCTAGAGTAGAGTTGTTCTAAAAGGGTTCTAGACTAGTTCTGTCTTAAACATCCTTTAGATTAACTCTGTTCTGTCTTGACTAGAATATGTATTCACATATTTATCCTAGTTAAAAAAGAACAACTAGTTATCTTTATCAGAACTGTTAGTAACATTAGAAGTATCTATATTTACTTAGAACAGTAGTGTAAAGTAGTTATAAGACTCAGAACACTAATTAAATGTAAGTGTCTACTCTAACTAGTTAATAGTAGAGTTGTAAGCCTTAAGTCATTCAAATCTGATAAAGATGTCTGTCTTTCTAAAGTTAATAACTCTAAACTTAATACTTTCCTTATAATCCTAAATAGTCATTTGTAGTTAGACAAACTTAGTAATCTAACTATTCTGGTTCAGAGTTCTGTCTATATTGTATATTAGGATCAGAAGTAGAATGTGTTAAGTAGAGAGGTAGTATTCCTATACAAAGGCCTTATTAATATACAAACTAGTACATTTACTGTTTACTAGAGCTATTATTTGAATCTGAGAGGATCCTAAGAAGGGAGCTAAGAGGACAGGAACTTAGAGCTAGTACTCAGAACATTCTTAGATAAACTACTACTTGTTCTGAAGGGAATGTACAACTTGTGTAACCTTATTATCTAAGAGAGTAAGTATATACACTAACATTTCCTTATTAACCTCTCTCTTTCAACAAGGACAGACTCATGTCCTTAGCTGTAAACTCAGCTAAAACTATCCCTACTTAATATTATAGACAAACTATTAAGTAGTAAACAAGGCTAGATAGTGTTCTGAATGTTCTAAGATTTTAGAACACAGAAGTAGTAGGTTGGATTGTACAGATTTAGACTTAGATAAAGTGTAAAGAGAAGAATCAAAAGAATTAGGAGAAATAGGAGAACTATCTACTTTTGTTTTTAACTTTTTTCTTTCTAATAAATAATTTTGTTAATTTATTTTTTCTACTTTTTCTACTTTATTTACTTCTAATCCTATAGTATTTATTAAATCAAAAGTAACTATTAAAAAATCTGAGTTATAGCCCTTTAGTGTTACATTTACTATTAGGCCTTTACAAAATCCTAGAGTATATAGTCAGAGTCTAAGAGTTCTAAGGTAACTTCTGAATTTGTAGAAAAGGCTTCTTACTACAAATTCTACTTATTACTCATTATTACTCTAATAACCTAATGAATGTACTGTTACTTTTACAGGTAGTCCTTAATTTAGTGTCCTGACTTTCTACAAGTAAAGTATACTCCTTACTTTCAGACTTCTCTAATGTCTATCAGAACAGATTAATTACAAATTATAAACAGATTAATCTAAAAGCTTAGAACTGTTAGAGCTAAATGTATGTATAAGTATTCTACACAAACTTAATACATTCAGACTGTAGCTTAGTCAAAGGAAATAGTATGTGTCTTCTACTCAGTGTAAGTAACTAGTTCTAGCATTATTCTAAGAATCTTATTAACTAGTTCTGAGTAAAGAGCTTTTTTAAGTATTCTAATAAGAACATTATTAAACCTGAGTATAAATCCTACCTTCTAGGCTAGGATATTAAACTCCTGAAAGAAGGTATTAATAGAATGTTTACCCTGTCACAGAGATATAAGCTTGTTATATACATTATACTTCTTATTCAAATTAATAAAGAAAGTATAGAACTGTCTTATAAATTCTGAATACAACTCATTGTTCTAAAGTTAGATTAGGCTTTTAATCTAATAGCCTTCAATCCAGTTCTGAGCCCAGGTGGCTGTGTTGCCTTCCTTCATAAAGGAGAGAATGAATAGAATACAATTAAGATCTAAGAATAGATTAGTCAAAGTAGTAGCTATATATAGTTTGACTTAGTACTAGAAGTCCTTAAAGTACTACTTATTAAAGTCTGAAGGGTAGACTATATACACTTTCTTTCTAAAACAGGTTACAACTTCTAGAACAATTAGAACAGGTTCTGAAGAGGCTGAGAGTACATAGTTAGTAAAGGCCTCTTAGATAGAGGTTTACATGTATTAAGCTAGTTCTACTTGTAACTACTAATCTAGTAGGACAGTAAGAGTAGTAGTTAGTATAAAAGGGTCTATGTTTACACTACAAAGGAATTGGCACTAAACTAAAAGGAGTAATGAATAAAAGAAGGGTGGTAAAAGTTTAAAAGGGTTTAGAAAGTTTAAAATTTAAAAATGTAAAAGGGTTAGAACAAAGAAAAGAGATTAACACAATAGTAAGTACTAATACTCAAAATGTAGGAGAATTGTAGGGTAGTAATAGGTAGTCTTAATCTAATGTTAGTAACAGTGTAGAGGGGACCTGAAGGCTTAATAAGAGGACTCAGGCTACAACTATCTTACACAACAGAAATATAGAACACAAGTACTAGAATATAGTTAGAACTTACAAAACAGGCAGAGAGAGAGAGTGAGACAAGAGTAGAGTATATAGAGTAAGTCTAAGAGTACAGGACTACCTAAAGTAGACAAGATTAAGACTACAGGACTAGTCTGATCTTATACACCTATATATACTAAACTATACAAGAGTACTTAGAGAGTATGAGCTATTAAGAATGATAAGCTACAAAGAATAAAAGAAAGGAATGTCAAAGATAAAGGTACAAAGAATGAAGGGATAGACAAAGGGTAAGAGACTATAGAATGAACAAAGAATGAAGGGGTGGTCAAAGGAATAGAATGATAAAGTAAGGAAGGGTAGTAGTAAGAGTTAGTATGTATATAGTTTATAGATAGTACTCCTAAGGGACAGAAGTCCTGAGTTTCAGTACAGAAGGGTGTAGAACCCTTAGAACTGAAGGTATAAGAGTAGAGAATCATAACAATTACATTCTGAGTAGTACATAAAGGTTTATTATACACAAATATATAAAAATATAAGTAAAACCAATGAAATGAAGTGGATTTAAGTGTATACACATAGTTGTATCTTGCTCTTAATTACTAACAACTACTCAGAGACAATACTAAAGCCTTGGATTTATTAATTAAGTATTAGTTTTTACTTTATTACTTGAGAATTACATTAAGAAGACAAAGAAATCAGTAAAATGAAGTGTAATAAGTAAATTACAGTATAATTTATTAATTAGTATCTATCTAGTCTAATACTGCTAGAAGTTCTCTCAATTTTTCTGTCTTAGTCCTTATTCTAGAGTTTATAAGTATCTGAGTATCTGTCTGTCTAAGCTTGTCTAGTTGTACTTTGAGTTCTGTTACTTTCATCCTGTTTACTATGTCTTGATTCAGCTGTATCTTGACTGTGTCAAGTTACTCATACCCTGTACTAACTGAAGAGCTTTGTATTATCTTTTGAGAACTCTAGAAAGCTGTTTTAGCATAATTCCTCCTGTAAATATATTGTAAGTACATAGGAGAATTAATTTTGATGGATTCATACTGTACTAGCTTGTTTTGAGTGAGTACTGGCCACACAGCACCCTCCCTTCCCTTATGAAAATCATACCAATGTTAAGATGTGTTTTACTATATACAGTCATGTGTGCATTTTTTTCTATTTTTTAGAAGTAGATTGTATATTTATCTCTCTTCTTGTAATTTGTAATAATAAATTATTTTTTTTACATAATAAGTCCTTAAACATGAATATCTAAAGATTTGTGTGAGGAATTTCCTTAATTCTAAGTATTTACTGAGATACATGTACTGTACCTACAGTATCTCACTCAATTTTCTAGTTATTTAAATTTCCTTACACAAACTTTTAGATATTCATGTTTTATTAATTTTAAAGATTTTTATTTATTTTTTTATAATGTATTGAGGGAGGAGATACATGTATAAAACCACAAGAAAACTCTCGACATGCAAATTGCGTGCTGCCATCACGGCATCTACCGTGGGAACGGCCGCGTCTTACCTTAGAAATGCCGACCCCCACTGTATCACGATTTTATTTTATTTTATTTTATCGGTAGCCTCCGTTCCTACAGTCGTTGTTCGCAGGTCAGCGAGGGCGTGTATAGCTAGAGCGATGGCAGACGATTCAACGCAGAAAGGTATGTACTATTGCACGTCTATTGTACGCGTTGGCTAATGAGCCGTGCCTTTAGTTCTTGTAGGAATCATCGGAGGCAGCGGGTTGTACGACCTCGACAACCTCGGCCCTGTGTAAGTAGAATATTATCTTTGTTCGTAATAATCTGATGAGACAATCCACGTAGTAAACAAGTAAAGCCAGACACGGTGCGTCGTTTAGCGCACGAAGCCCTCTGCTGTTACCAGTCAATCTGACGCATATATTCAGCCATGGGGCCAGCCGAGTTCACCCATAACAATTGCTCGTGCACCAGGCGGCACGCTCGTCGCTTTCCTTGCGCGTCATGGTCCTGGGCATGCCATCCCGCCTTCTGCAATTCCCTCCCGCGCGAACATCGCTGCGCTCAAATCTCTCGGCGTCCGCCTCATCGTCGCATTCTCCGCAGTCGGTTCCCTCCGCGAGGAGATCAAACCAGGCGATTTTGTACTCCCCGACCAGATCATCGACAGAACAAAGGGAATCCGTCCTGCGAGCTTCTTCGAAGGCACATCTGTCGTCGCCCACGCGCAGTTCGGTGATCCGTTCGCGATGAAACTCGTCAAATTCCTTGAGAGCCGAGTGGGGAGGGCGTTAGAGGGCACGCATAAGGGTCTGCATACTGGCAAGACGATCGTCTGTATGGAGGGCCCACAGTTCTCTACACGTGCGGAGAGTAGAATGTACCGTGCATGGGGAGGTGACCTCATCAACATGAGCGTCCTCCCAGAAGCAAAGCTCGCACGTGAAGCAGAGATCAGCTATGCCCTCATTGCGACCTCTACGGACTACGATTCATGGCGCGAGAACAGCGAGTCGGTCACCGCCGCTGAGGTATTCAAAACTCTTAAGGACAACGCGGATACGTCAAGGCACGTAACGGAGCTCATCATTGCTGATTTACACGATGCAGCAGAGAACGGCGATATTTTGTCTGAAGAAGCGGGATCTATGAAATTCTCGATAATGCCAAGGTCGGAAGAACAGAAAGATGAGGATAGGAAGAAGCTGGCTTTTGTACTTCCCGCTTATTTTTCGTGAAGTACAGCTACGAATAGTATCAATTAGATCTAGGTGCGACTTTGCTTGCTTATTGTTGTCTTGATTACTAGAAAGTATAGAACAAAATTGTTGCACTATTACTTTACCGGAACCTGTGTTGACCGGCCAGAACACTGCTTCAATTCCTTAATAACAAATCTCCAACAGACTTGTAGACAATCAGTGTCTGGACTCCCTGCAAAGTAGGCTATTTACACTAGCAAAACACAGTAATAAGTATGGTCAAACCTTATGATTCATTGTACAATTCACTTGTATGATTCACTTCTATACAAAGTGAATTGTAGACTCTAGAACCCTAGCAACTCAGGGTGAATTACTCTGAAAGGTGAATTACACTTTAACACAATTTGTCTTACAATTCACTCTTATAGAACAGTACTGGTAGAGTGCTAAACACTGAGCTCAAAGATTGTAGGACACACAAAGACTGACAGGACAAAGGTATCTTTATTACAGTCAGTAAACAAGAACTAGTTGTATATAATAAGACACACCTTTGTTACAGTCAGTAAACAAGAACTAGTACAACAAAGGTGTAGACATAAGCTTTATATACTAGAGAAGAAAGGAAAGTGGCTCAGACTAAAGGAATGTGTGATACAAGTGAAAAAGGAGACTATATGTATAGCTCAGGATTGGGAAATGTATGTGTAGTCTAAGACTGTATAAGAGAGTTCTAGAACAGAACTCTCAGAACCCTTAGAACTATAGTAAGCTGTATAGTAGGCTTACACTCTTTCCTCCTCTAAACTACTGTTACTACTTATGTAAGTAAAGGTCCAACCATGTATACAAAATGTTTAGAGTAGAGTTCTGAAGCTTAGACTCAGATTTCCATTCTCTTCCCTATTTACTCTATTCTTCCTATTTAATAAGGTATTACTAACTTCTGTCTTAGTACTACTAGTTAATAATGTAAGAGACTTTGTAAATTTTGTCTGTATTATTAACAGATCTAGAGTGTACAAGGGCTTAGTCTAGGAATAGAAGGTTATTGTTTAGAACATAATACTTGAGTTAGTTTGAATAGAACCTTAAGAAGGTCTGATTTGAATCTAGAAGTTCTAAAGTATACTCAGATTTTTCTAGATTTACTATAATAATAAAGTACAGTCTATTATACTTAAGTATAAACTTAGTAGCTCAACCTAGAGTATTTGCTTAGTAGTTCTAACAATAGTTCTAAGTTAATAATATTACTTAGTCCTCTACTTAGAACTAATCCTCTTCTACCTAATACTAGTTTATATAGTAAGCTTACTATATTTTTACTACTAATAACTAATTCTAAGTATTTACTATCTGTTAGTAGATCTAGACTACAAAATCCTCTGTCTCTACTTTTAGAGTATATAGTTCTAACAGTTTTAAAAGTAGAACAAGTAGTAAAACTATATAAGAGTTAAATCTGTATTAGAGCTAGAACAGAGAGTATTTATTAAACACATTTACTAAGTTTATAATATAGAAACAGACTTATAAAAGTCTAAACTTCTATCCCTGTTACTGTTAGTCTATATAGAACCTAAAAAGCTAGTTTACTATCTTATTAGTGTATTTACTAACTTTATCAGTTTCAGAGTAGTAAGTTATAAACATCTTTAACTTTACATTTGTTTGTTTATACAAGACAGTCTAAAAACAGGATAGGAATAAGTAGTTCTAATCTAATACAATTTCTAAGAGTAGTCTGTTCTTACAATACTATTTACTAAAGAATAACTCTACAAAGTCTTCTACTAACATTTCTATCTAGTAGAGTTTAATCTGAATGTTAGTACTTTTAAAACAATTCATTATTATAACTATTCTATTAAACCTGTTATCTTTTAGTAAGAGTCTAATAAAGTCTATTATTATACTCTTAAAACAGTCCTTTAGATCTAGTAGTAAATAAAGAGGTCTGGTTAGTTTAGACATTGTACTCTTGTTCTATTAACACATATTACAATCTAGAATATAGTTCTACTCTAGATTCTAACACATGTTTAGTTAATAATACAATTCTCAGAGTACTAAGTATATCTTGTTTGTTCTAAAGTAACCTAACTTATTATATACTAAATAGTATAGTATTTTTTAAAGGTTTCTTATTCTTAGAATAATTAACTAGTTATTTAGGTAGAGTAGCTTATTTTCTTTACAAGTACTCTAAATACTAATTAGGTTAGCTTAGAGTTTGTGAGAGAACTCATTTGTGTTATAACTGTCTTAGATTGACTTTAGAAGATTAGAATCTGTTCTAATCTATAGTACTAATCTAATAATTTTGTCTTTAAAGAGGTCTTCTCTTACAAGTTCTAATTCACATTCTAAGTACTTAGATAGAGTGTTTGTAATTGTATTATCCTCCCTCTTAATATAGTGTAGCTTGTAATTATGTTAGGAAAAATACTATACTTACTAGACTTGTCTTTAAAATAGATCCTTCTAAGTGTTAAAATACTTAAGTGTGTAGTAATCTATATAAACATAAAAATGAACCCTAAGAAAATATACTTACTATTTCTTAAGAGCTTAGACAATTACAAGTAGTTCTTATTCATATACTAGGTAATTTTGTTCTACACTATTATATTATATAAACTCAAAAGTAACTAGTTAGACTAACTTTCAAAATGTTCTAATACTTAATACTACTCTAGTTCTATAGTTTAAAGTATTTATAGTTATATAAATGTTCTCTCTAGAGTAGTAATCTACTAATGTAAAACACTCTTAACTAGTTACAATCCTTTTAATTATATTAAAAGCTTGTTAGTGTTCTAAAGACTATTCTAAGAATACCTTGTTACAATCCTTACTAGTTAGTAGTAAGAGAATTATAGTATACTCTACTAACTCAAGTAAGTATATTATAATAAACTTTAGAAGTCTAAGGAATTTACAAACATTCTATGTGTTCTAAAGTTAGAACTATTATAGAATCTGTTTAACCTTCTTAGAATTAGCTTTTATACCTTGTTCTATAATAAGGTGTTTAAGAAACATTAGTGACTTACAAAACAGCTTTGTCTTTTTACTAGAACAGATAAGTTCTTTGTTCTAAAGTACTTCTATTACCTTACTAATGTTAACTATATACTTTACTTTAGACTAAGACTAAATAATAATGTTATTTAAGTATATATAGTAAATGTATTTAATTAAGTACTTGAGAGCCTTAGTAACTTACTACTATTAGGTAGTTAGTATATTATATAAACTTATTAGTATAACAGTCTACTTATATAGTCTGAAGAGAGTGTTTATTACTATTAGTAGAATATCTTTAAAGTCTATCTAAGTCTAGAAGAAGGTATTAGTTATATTAATCTTAGTATATATGTACTCTCTAAGACAATTATTAAGAATTTTGTTAATCTAAGGTAAGAGAGTACAGTTCTAAATAGTATTACTATTAAGTACTTAATAATTATATACTATGTATAAAAGTTCTATTAGATCTATCTTTAGAATTAAGAAAGTTAGAAATGAGTACAGACTGTCTAAGTACTATAACTGTTCTGTCTATATATACTAGTTAATTAGAGTGTACTATACCTTCTAATATTTCTAGAGACAAGTATATAATTATACTACTATTACTCTAAAAAGGTTCTTAAAAAATATATAATAGACAGTCTCTTTTAAGAGTTCTACTATTAAAGGTATCTCTTTTAGGAAACAGTTTAAGTACTATAGTTTTATCTCTTAGTCTAGTTTCTCAAAATAGTTTACTATTGTTAGAATCTCTACTTGTTTACAGACTACTATTACTATTAACTATACTAGTAGGAGCTTACTCTTAGAGTTGTTACTCAGAACTCTTACTCATTCTAAAGCTAGTTCTAGAGTATATTCTAGAACCTGTTTTATAGTCTAGTCCTTATAAGACTTTATTAGGTTGTATCTAAATCCCTTCTATACTACTGTCTACCCTTCTACATTAATTACTAAACAGTTTACTTATATAAATAAGTTTCTAAGAATCATTTTATTATATAGATTATTAACTATATAAGCCTTTACAACTTTAGACATTTACTCTCTGTTTACAGATTGTACTTATAACTTTACCTATTCTGTTACTCAAGTTTTAGAACTCCTGTCTGACTTAATTACTAGTGTTATAGTAAAGGGAATTTTAAGTAGAAAACACTTTAGACCTATCTAAAACACTAGTACTGTTAGTAACAGTATAGAGAGGACCTGAAGACTTAGTAAGAGGACTCAGACTATAACTATCCTACATAATAGAAATATAGAACACAAGTATTAGAATATAGTTAGAACTTGTAAAACAGGTAGAGAGAGAGAGTGAGACAAGAGTAGAGTATATAGAGTAAGTCTAAGAGTACAGAACTACTTAGAGTAAACAAGATTAAAACTATAAGACTAGTCTAATCTTATATACTTATATATACTAAACTATACAAAAGTACTTAGAGAGTATAAGCTATTAAGAATAATAAGCTATAAAGAATGAAAGAAAGGAAGGTCAAAGATAAAGGTATAAAGAATGAAGGGATGAACAAAGGGTAAGAGACTATAGAATTAACAAAGAATAAAGGAGTAGTTAAAGGAATAGAATAATAAAGTAAGGAAGGGTAGTAGTAAGAGTTAGTATACATATAGTTTATAAATAATACTCTTAAGAGACAGAAGTCCTAAGTTCTAGTACAGAAGAGTGTAGAACCTTTAGAACTGAAAGTATAAGAGTAGAGAACTATAACATTACTCTCTCTCTAAAACCAATTGTTCTAATTAGTAAACATTAGACTTAGTTAGTAGCTTAAACATAAGTTAGAATAGTAAGGCTTAGAAATCTGTAAGACTGAGTTTGTATAAAGTACTAGGATAAAGCTGATAGAAATCTCAGATTGTTTTAAGAGTATAAGTAAGGTTCTTAGTAGGTTCCTAAGTACACTCTTTAACTAGGTACCCTTTCTAGTAAACAAGGAATTTGAGTTTTCTGTATAATAACTTAGTATTTACTATATACTCTACTTTGTATTCTGGTTTAAAGCTAATAAGTTCTGGTAGAGACAGTAGGAGTCTTTGTTATAAAGGAAAACTAGGATTATAGTATTAAGACAATAGAACCTTGTTAAACACTAAGTGTATATACTTTTATATTGTTAGAAGTTAG